CTAAAAAAGAAGCATTTAAAAAGAAAAACCTGGGAGAAGGGTCAGGACCTAAACTCTGGTGTCTCTGCTACGCACCTCCCCTACACCATCTTGGCCACATCCCTTAACTGCTATGGGCTTCAATTTCCTCATTTGTAAAAGGTGGTGGCAACTTGGATAATCACTAAGATTCCTTCCAGCTCTGAGAATCATGAGTAACAAACGAACAAGCATCACCTCTTAGTTGAAAGGCAGAGTGGTTTATTTAGGGGAGAATTAGTCACCCAAATCCACCACTGATCAGTCAGGGAGCAAAGGAGCATGCAAATCAAAGCCTTTCCAAAGGCTTTGAACAAAACACAGTTGCAAGGGGGAGGGTGCTTCGGGGGCTCGTGAATATCTCTTGGGTGGCAACTACCTGACTGCATGAAAAAATGACAAGAGGCACACTCAAAGGCAGACAAGCAGCGGCATGGGTGAGCAGAAACAGGTAGGGTTCACACCATGGGCTTCATATGATTTTTATTTTACAAAGGATAGGTTTTCAACACGAGAGTGCAGAGGGCACTCAGCAGCAAACCTTACAGTCGGAAGATAACCCCGGGCTATGGGACTGGGCAGAAAATAGCAGATGTGCATCAGTGTGGGCAAGTGTAGAATAATGCTCTGAGAAAAAAGTCATTCAAATTATCCTCATGAGACACGGGGTCGGATGGGTCATACACAATCCAGAAACACTCCGTCACTATCGACAGTTTCCTCAGGAGACTAGTTCAAATAATCCGAAGCAGCTAAAGGCACCAACAGAAAGCGGTCACTGTTTTGGGCACAACAAGAGCTAGAAAGGGCTTTAGAAATAACTCATTTCACCTTTCTCATTTTAACTGAGACTCCGAGGGCTTGGGAAATGCCTTATGCCCAGCAAATGGCCAACAAACATGAGTTGAAGGAGCCTGACCAATAAAATGTGTATTTCCAGCCATACCGCATGCAGATACTATTTTGTTATATTTGGCATCAACTTCAAAACCTTTCAGAGCAAAAAAACACAATGGAACAGAGTACTGTGGGCAATTCCCGAATCCGAAAAATAACTCTAGAGTAACCAAGGCAGGCAACAGGGCAAAGGTAAGCTTTAAAACTCTACTTCCTTAATCTGCAATTATGAATATTGCATGATCACATATGATAAAAATGTGTGCAAGGATGTCAGTCAGCAGTAGGGTGAATCTGAACTTTTTCACCACATCCTTTCACACTAGGATTGAAGCAATTCTGGATGTTTGAAGAAGGAACTTTAGAAGAGGAGAAGGCGAGCACTAGTTTATCCAGCAGATAACAAGCCTGTCTGGACAGCTGAGGCTGCACCAGATGAAAACACAGACGACAAAATGTAAGAAGGGGTAAGAATACATTCATGGGCGATAAATCCACAATGGGTCATTGAGACCAGTTTCAAGCACGTGGGCAATGCCTAACCCCGGCGCCTCCATCCTGGAAGGCAAATCACACTCTCTTACAAAATGTCCCTCAGAGATGCAACTGGGTCAGAGCACTGGGCTGAATGGGAAACATAAAAAAAGCAAAATGACTTACCTGTGGGATGAGACGCAAGTGCCAGGAGCACCACACTGAAAATGAAACAGCAGAGCAGTGAGGAAGTCTTCCCAGCACTGAGAAAACAGCAACATACATTTCTGTCCATTCTGCTCAGAAACAGTGAAATTTGCCTAAGAGCAGATTAGCTGCACCAAATGGTCTCACTCATCAGTGAGAGGGTGAGATCTCCTGAGATGCCTCAGGTTTTGGCAAGAGGGTTGACCGAACCCCGTGATGGGCCAAGGACCCACGCCCCACTCCCAGGCCAGCTGTGTGGCCATTAACACCACACCTAATCGGCCAAGAGTATGTGTAAGCCAAACAAAGCCAACTCGGAATTACAGATCAGCTGCAACTGAAAAGCTAGCTGTTGAGTGTGAGCTAAATCTGTCTGCCATAAAATTAACTCTGTAGAAGGTAAGCTAAATTTCCAAGAAGACAGCCCACAAAATGATCCATCCCATCCACCACGTGCCTGGAAACTACCTGGACTGGTTTACAGTAGAAGCTGAAAAGGATGAAGAGGAGGAGGAGTGCTCCTCTGATGCTGGCCATATTGGTCCTTGGTATTCTCCCATCTTGCTCTCCAGAAGCTTCTGCCATCTCCCAGTACCCGCCCACCACGCCTTCACACTGCCCTGGCCCACCTTCTACACCTCTTCCATCACGACTCCACGCCATGCAGGCAGCTATCTGGTTAGAGGTTAGGAATACAACTTTTTATCCAAGGATAGGAAGGGATTTTTTTATTTTTAATGCTAGACAGCCTACTCTGGTTCTTAATCCTGGCTGGACACCAGAATGGCCAACACCCTGGCTAGAATCTCTAAGGGCAAGATCGAGGCTTCAGTTGTTTTCCTTTGTTACAGCCCCCGGGTGCTCTAATGGGCACCGGGATGGAGAACCACCAAAGTCTCTAGTCGGTGACATTATAGGCGGTGTGGGGGACAGTTTGAACAGGGAAGCCACTGTTGGCTTGACAGCCCCGACCCCTCCCTGCTCTGGGGTTAACTCCTTGCACCACTTCTGTTTTTCTCAATCTCTTCCTTTGCTCTGCAAAGCAGAGCAGTCCTCGGGTGCTGGTTCTCCGATGGCTCAGAGGAGCGGTGTCATTCAAAGAGGCAGGAGGTGAGGAGGGTCAGGAGAGAGGCAATGAAGAAGAGCCACGTGTTGGGTCATTCAGAAGTCGTAGGTTTGTAAGACAGGCCTTACAGGCAGCTACAAAAAATACGCACACTACAAACAAACCTGGAGACGTTCTGTCCTTTGCTTGCCATCTCTTCTTTCTTTGGCAAACACAGACCCTGTACAATACTCCATTATATTATCTCACTGGATCCCCTTTTGGTTATAACTCCTATGGCAGGATAGAAGAGGCCTCTTTCCATCCCAAAATATCTCCCAGAGCTTGCCATGGTACCCCAAATCCCATCATTGGCATCATCCCAAAGGGTGTCCCCGAAATAAAATATTAAGGGATAAAAATAAGAAGAAATAATTAAATGGAAGAGTTGATCCTCTAATCCCTGTCTGAGTTTTGCAAATACAGCGGCATACCACTCCTAATGCCTACGCTGTGACCTCCTACGGGGCAAGAACCATATTTTATTCCTCTGGATCCCAAGTGTCTAGCAGGGCCAGACATACAGCAGGCGCCGAGTGTGTTTGAAATTGTAACTAATCGCCTCTAGGAGTATCTGTGGTGGGCAGTATAGAGAAGTATACCTATTTGTGCGGGGCAGAAGAGAAGTATACCTTGAAGTCCCCTATATTTCTAAGACTATATGTGATATGTAAACTCTATAGAAGAACTTATACTCCTATAAAAGGCATATGATAACAGATCGACAGCAGACTTTTAAAATGCATTCAACAGGGCGCCTGGGTGGCTCAGTTGGTTGAGCGACTGCCTTCGGCTCAGGTCATGATCCTGGAGTCCCGGGATGGAGTCCCACATCGGGCTCCCTGCTCAGCGGGGTGTCTGCTTCTCCCTCTGACCCTCTTCCCTCTCATGCTCTCTCTCATTCTCTCTCTCAAATAAATAAATAAAATCTTTAAAAAAATAAATAAATAAAATGCATTCAACAGCTATTTATTCAATGTCTGGTCAGTGCCGGATACTGTTCTAATTTGGGGATATGGCAATGAACAAAACAGAAAACCTTCCTCTATTTCCTATATAGGAAATATAATGGGGAAATAGGAGAAAAATATGTTCTCCACAGGCTGAAGTCCAACAAAATCATACCCCAGACAGATCGCATGTCTATTTCCCTTTGACACACACATACACTGTTTCACCTGCAAAATGGGGGGTGGAGGAGCAGCAGGGAACAGATGATAATTTTCTATTTAATATTTAATAATGTCTGCTTGTGTTAAAAAGAAATGGTGTTGGGCATATATCCCATAATATTCATTCCTTATAAATTACCTAAATTTTTTAAAATGCTGGTAAAGGCCGTATCATTGTTAGACATTCCATTTATTTTCAGCTCCAGATCCAACCCCCTCCTTTATTCCTTCCTTCATCCTTTCCAGTCTGCGTCGGGCCTTAGACCTCTGTTTATATGAGAAACACCGGAAGTCAGGGTCAGGGAGCAAATACACCCTCAAGAAAATAGGAGTATGTGCCAAAGTAGAGACCCGCTCAACTACCGGCTTCCCTCAAAATAAAGCGGGATCAAACCAGTTCTTGGCCCTGGCAGCTGCTGCACTGATCCAAGGGACCCCTCAGTGTCCCGGGCCTTGGGAAATCAAGCAGCGGCCCTCACTCTGACTCACACATCTTCATCACGGGGACTGAAAGAAGACTCGGGAACAGAATCATGGCTTTAGCCAGTCTGTAGAGGCCCAGCCAGGAAGACTTGAGCACCGGGCTCAGCCTGGGGCGGGGGGAGCCGGGCTGGCAGGAGGATGAGTCGGGGTCACAGAGGCTCACTTTTCCATCCCCTTATTCCTTTGCTGCTCAAGTGGACTCTAAGTTCTATGGAGAAAAAGAACTGCCCCAAGTGTTCTGATGTCACAGGAACATGTTAAACATCCAGAGCCTTCTGCATTTTCAGAAACATCTCTTGAAAAGGCAGCTGGTTTGTCCGGGCAGGGTGGAACTAATGATTGTTTTCAGTGGAGTACAAAAGAGGCCTACAGCCATTCCTGTGGTGGATCCTTTCGAAAAGGCATTTTAATGAACTATTTATGAGCTTTACCTGCAGATGGAGAATACAGCTCATGTTGAATGTTTTAAGATGAACTTCCTGCAGAAATCAGCATGGCCAAGTGCTGAGTGGCACATCCCCAGCCTCGGTCATCTTTGCAAGCGTTGCTGCATTAGGGCAAACTTGGGCTCCCAGCGGCAGATCTCACCCTTCTTCCCTCTCAGCTAGGTCCCGTGGTGCACAATCAGAGACCACGGAACTCCAAGAACACTCCCAGCTATTCTATTTAGCAGACAGAGCCCTATTCTTTGCTTGGGTGGGGGCAAGGGTATGAATGGCAGTCCATATACCATATTTAAATGTTACAAATCAAGCCTCAAACTTCATCCTACCTCAGTAAATATGCCTTCAAAAAACCTGGAAGTCTAGATTAGAATTTAGAATTCTTGGAGTCCCTGGAGCTTCATGTCAGAATGTGGCGGCATGGACAGATCCAACCTCTGGCTCCTGGCTCCCAGTGAGCCCCCTTCTCTCTCTACCCCAGGCTCCATCCTGCACACTGAAGCCTCATACACTTGTATGTGGACACATCAGCCTGCAAGTCCACTCTCCTGCAAGTCCTCGCCCACTACCAGTCTGTCTTTGGACACTCCTTGGGTCTAGGAATGAGTTGGGAAGTCGAGCTCAGGAACACCTGAGCAGGGAATTCTAGGTCCCAGGCTAGAAGGGAGGGTGTGGGCCCTGGGAAGAAATGTCCCCTTAGCCTTACAGACTCCACAACCCATGGGGAGAGGCATGGCCTTCTGAAGTGTGGAGCCAGAAAGAGGTCCCTTTTGCCTGGTCTACGGACAGAACCATTATTTGGTTTTCTCAACTTCTAGTCGTCTCACAAATTATTTAGCTTGCCTTTCTGGTAGGCACATCGGCTCAGAACTCTCTAATCAAATTATTATTGGGAAATAAAAATGCATTAGCTCTAGAAATATATGAGTTGTTCTTTGAAAATATAAGTTATATTTTACCTGAACATATAGTTTAAGTACTGCTGGTCAATGTCACTAAGGAATGAGAAAAAAAAAAAAAAGATAAAACATGTGAAATAATTAGAAGTGTTTTACATCAACAAAAGTCATTATATTCTAATAAATTATATCTATGGTTAAGTTTCTACATTTAAAAATTGTCAATAAATGGTATGAAGGGTACTTTATATTCAAAACTTGTTCCTGGCTCATTTTTAAGAAAACACTTCCTAGTTAATAGTATCACACACATTTTCACCTGTGACGGATTATCTCTGCGTGTACATTTGCCACCAGGAAAGGAGAGTCAACTCTCTCAGGCCATTGGACTGGATCCTAGGGCCACCATATTTGACAGATAAAAATACAGGACACCCAAATAAATCTGAATCTCAGATAAAGAATCATGTTCAAGTATACTCCAAATATTGCATGGGCCATAGTTACACTAAAAAAAGGATTCACTACTTACCTGAAATTCAAATTTAACTGGGCACCCTGTATTTTATCTGGCAACTCCACTGGCTTCTAGCTGCGGACAAACTTCATTAAAAGAACAAAAGGTGTTCTAAGGGACCTAAAGTCACAGTCTCCGAGTGTATAATCTTCTCCCAGGGGTCCTTCTGGCGGCCCCCAAAACCCAGAGGCCAGGGGACCAGTCCAGGGCCTCTGACCTCCCAGCTGCAGGCCAACCCATGCCGGGACTCCTGTCTCTTTCACTGACATTTGCTAAGGCTGGTCCCTTGACTGCACAACAGGGGCCTCACTTTACCCCAGCACAGAGCTCGTGACTGGGAACTTCTGGGTCTAAACAAAGTCAAGTTAGGAAGGAGCTGAGGAGGGCGCCTGGGTGGCTCAGTTGGTTAAGCGACTGCTTTCGGCTCAGGTCATGATCCTGGAGTCCCTGGATCGAGTCCCGCATCGGGCTCCCTGCTCGGCAGGGAGTCTGCTTCTCCCTCTGACCCTCCCCCTTCTCATGTGCTCTCTCTCATTCTCTCTCTCAAATAAATAAATAAAAATCTTTAAATAAAAATAAAAAAAAAAAAAAAAAGGAAGGAGCTGAGGAAACAAGAAAAAAGAGTTGTCCTCTGAGCTGCAAGAAATACACCGGGGCCCCAAAGCCTCGGGTCACATTTTTGTAAAAATGTTCTCTAAAAAGCTGTCCCCGAAGGAAGAGGGCAGAGGCTCCCCGGCTCTTCGCCCACTGCTGACAGCGGGTAGGATCGGGTGCTGATGGATCCTGCCTGCAAGGGCCCAACAGCAGGAGAGACGGCTCTGGCGGCCCCAGGCGCGCTCACGACACCGTGGGTCTCACCCCTTGGCTTGAACCAAACAACGACCCACCCACTTGAAAAGTTTACCTTAGCACGTTGGGTTTCCGGGCCTTCTGTAATATCTTATAAGCCCCTGAAAACGAAGCCACGCGTGTTACTGGCACAGGACGTTCCGCGTGAATCAGCACAGGCAAGCGCCGCTCCTCCCACGAGGGGCACCCCAGGCCGACAGGGGGCGACAACGACACTCTGGAGGGCGTCCAGGATGCAAGGGCAGGAATCCCCTGCGATGACCAGTCAGTACAGGGAGTGCTGGGCCAGGAGGGCTCGTGATCAGCAGAAGGATACAACGCACAGGAAGCTTTCGGCTTCCTTTGCAGCGTGCGGGACACAGGAACACGCTGCATTTCTGAACCGTGCGTAACCAAGTCAGGGCCCTGCTCTCCCCCTAAGACTACAGACGGGAAAACACTGAACGAATGATTGGAAATGAAGTCAGATGGCCCTTTTATTTCCGCTGCGTCCATTTCTTTGGGTATGCTGCTGAAGGACACTGTTTTGTTAAACACAAACTTCTGGCTCTCTTCCCACCATTTTTAGAGAAGATCCACCAGCGTTTCTCAAGTAGACTTAAGCAAGCAGGGCCAGAGCCGTGGTGAGTTAACTAATGTTTGTCAAGAAAAAGAGGAGATTGTATCAGAAATTGGAACATTTGAGGAAAACTCCAAAACAGGAAAATCAGATCAGAAAACGCCCATTTAAGTTTAACCTTGACACCTTGGCTGTAATCTTCCTATTGTTCAGGGTCACCGAAAAGTGGATATATAATGAGGTCTAAATAATAAGCTTCAATTATTTAAGTAAGCATTCTTTTAAAACTTACCTACGCAGAGTAAGTGAATTACAGCCCAGAAATATCCACCAGGATCAAACTGTAACACAGGATTTGAAAAAAAATAATAATAAAACGGCTATAAGTAGAGACAAATGGGATCCAGCGTGGCAATCAGAAACCCTAAATGTCGATGCACGGTGCCAACCAAGGGTGCCACAACAGGACTCTGGGACCTTTGGCCAGTCCATCCTCATTTCTCACCCCGATGCCTATGACATCTTCCTAATAGGGCTCTCTGCCTCCAGCACCCCTTTTCCTGTTCTCCACACTACCCTCACACTGTGTCTCTAAAAGACTAATTGGATGGTGTCACCTACTGCTTAAAATCATTCAACAGTCCCCCAGTGACTTTCAGGATAAAATCCAAACTCATGGCACCCAACGATCTCTAGGACAAGCCCCTGTCAAGCCCATCAGTCCCATCTACAACACCCCCACCAGAGAAAGAACTTGCACTTCCCCAAGCCTGGATGCTTCCCCCCACCAACTCGGCCGAGGGGCACTCCCTCTCTTCTTCCCTTCCTTGTTTTTCTCCGTGAAAGTTTATCTCATCTGCCACACTCTATTTCATGTATCACCTGTCTCTTTCTCCACCATTCACTAGCCTGTAAATTCCAAGAGGGCAGGAATTTGCACAGGGGCAAAAGTGAGTAAGTGCTCACTATAGCTGAATCCCAGAAAGGCAGGACACCTCCACGACTGTGCCCACACCTGCTTTCTTCTCCTGGCCATCTGGTCCTCTCCCTCCAAGATTTAGGTCCAGAGAGCAGAGTCTGGCTCTAGCATCAGAAAGATCTGGTGTAAATTCTGAAACCCCCACTTATTCATTAGCTGGTGACCTTTGGGGCCTCGTTATTCTTTAGCTATGCAATGGAGACAATAAGAGTCCCTCTCCTTGTGAAACTGTGAGATTTTAAATAAAATAAGGCACATGAAGCACTGGCCCAGAGCCTGGCACATAGCTAGCTCCCTATAATTGTTAGCTCTTCCTATTTCCCCGGTCCCCGAGTCTTCATAGGTGCCACATGGCGTCCCCTATCTCCCCACGACAGAGCCCCAGCCTCCCCATGTTATAATTATCTGTTTCTCATCTGTCCTCCTCTCCTTTGCTCTGCCTAGACTCTGACTTCTGCCTGGATGAGGACAATTCTTCTTTGTGTCCCCAGAGCCTGGCTCGGTGCCTGACACTTGATGGGGATTTAATAACTGCTAGGGGAGAAGAGAGAGAAAACAGACCCACAATGAGACGGCTACTGGGTGGGTAAGGGGGTGGGTCCTCAGGGCCTAATAAGGAAAACCTCAGGATAACCAAATGAAAATCACTCTGCAGATGAGGCCCTTGGGATGAGAGGGAAAATCTACGTCGCCTCAATGCACGAGGCTAGAGCAACTCGGGCTGGGGCTCGTGAGTCCTCCAAGCGCATACAGAGGGCCAATGGCAGCCACCACGGTGCCCAGAGGCCAGAGCTCGCCCGGGCTGCTGCAGCCCTGGGGAGAAGGCGAAGCCTGCAGAAGAGGTGCTGACCCGGCCACGAGGCACCCAGCCTAGAAGTTGTTTTTTTTTTTTTTTTTAGATTTTATTTATTTGACAGAGACACAGTGAGAGAGGGAACACAAGCAGGGGGAGTGGGAGAGGAAGAAGCAGGCCTCCCGTGGAGCAGGGAGCCCGATGTGGGGCTCAATCCCAGGACCCTGGGATCATGACCTGAACTGAAGGCAGACGCTTAACAACTGAGCGACCCAGGCGCCCCGCCTGGAAGCTTTTAAATGCCTTTGCACAGGCTGGAGTTCTTCTGATTCCTGAAGGAAGGACTAGGAAGTTCTGCTCATACACGCAGGCTTCGGAGAGTAAAAGACACTTGGAAGGCAAAATGAGTGCCCTTGAACTTACCTGGGGGTCGTTGAAGGGAAGGCATCCTGCAGCAGCCAGGAGGAAGAGGGTACTGTGCAAAGAGATAAAACAGGCAGCTTCACTTTTCAACATCAAAGGGTTGCCTGGAGAGTGTGGGGGTTGAAACACATCAAGTGGAGCGAGCACGGGGCCAAGACCCTGCAAGACCCTGCCCTGTGCCCCTGTTCCTCCTCAAGAACCCCACTACCTATGCAGTTTTCAACTGGGTGCTCCACCAGGGACCAGACAGTTCCCTCCCTGGGGCTCGGCTGGCCTTGTTCCCAGATATGGGCACTTGCAGGACATTTGCAAAACCATGGCTGGCTCACTCGAGAAAAACAGGATGCCCGTGAAACAGGTTATAAGAAATTTTTTAAACTGCAGATCCCCAAAAATACACTAGTGGAAAACTGGGTAATCAGACTGCAGTTCTACCACTTAGGAAAAAGAAAACGCCATGGAAAGCATGTTAAAATCTTCTGCGCTTCACCTTCACCAAATGATCAAGCTTAACATCTCCAATGAGGGGACAGGTGTATGTCCTATGCCTCCTGATACGATGTACTAAGAAGGGCACATCACTCACGTGGCATTCCTGCCAAATATGCATAACCCACCTAGCGTGGCCAGTGGAACCAGTATGGGGGAATCCTCAGAGCTGGGACCCCACAGCCCTGGGATGGTCAACACGACACGGGTCATCCTGGGGCACAGGAAGGTCCTCCGCTCCAGCCCGCCCTCCTTTTACAGCCTCGCCAACTTTGAAGGCACATACACAAATGGCCTCAAGAAGACTCCAAGGCACCAGATTGTCAAGCGACTCAGAGGCAAAGGGTGGGGTGAGTGGAGGTAGGCGGGTGGAAGGGTTTCTGGGACTGCACAGGCTCAGGCAGGTTTTAGGTGGGAGGAGAGGAGAACCCTAATAGGTTTGGTCTACCTACAGTGGAAGGCTTTCTAGGATATAGGACGCTTCCCCATCCACAGGCAATGAATGTTACTGGTCCTCTCAAACAGAGAGCCCCTCGGGGCTGAGAGGAGTTGGGGGACAGCCAGGTGGGAGACAACACTTGGTTTCCCACCAAACTCGGCCTTGAGCAATACCTGATCATATCAGGTATTAGTGAGTTTTAATGCCTCTCTTTAATACCTGCTAATCTTTTAAACAAGAGGATGAGTCCTAACAGTGTTGGGTTTTGTTTTTTTTTCCAAGTAGCAGCCTGTAATCAAGGCAAAAAAAAGAGATTGGATGAAAGCCCAGAAATATTTGAAACAAAAAGTCCTAAATCCATGTGTCAAAGCATTTCTGTTGGTTTTCTATCATCAGGACTGAGCTTCAGAGCTATGGCTGAGGAGGCCAGAAGCAGCCAGAGAACGGGGTTACAGGTTAGCACACAGGGGGGCCCAGGGATCGGCCCAAGAGTCCAGCCCGGCTCGTGTTTCAGCCGAGGGAACGAGGCAGGAAGGGCTAGGAAGCCTGCCCTTCATCACCTTGCTGTGGCCCAAGACCATGACTCAAATCCCTCATCTTGCAGCCAGTGTTTGTTCCACCATGGGAATCAAAAAAACCCAATCAACTGCAAACACGATTTTAAACATTTTAAGTCCTTTTCCGTGTTTTCCATTTTCTTTCTCCCATCAGTATTGCACAACTCTTAGTGAAGTTTTGGGCTTCAGTGACTGAAATCTAGCACGGGTTATTTTCCCCTTAGGAACAGAATACTTCAGGGAAAAAAAAAAAACGAGAGCGAAAGAGATAGTAAAATTTAGAAAAAGACACAAAATAGGGGTATATAACTGTTTATAATAAATTCTGTCAACTCTTGGGGCGCCTGGGTGGCTCAGTCGGTTAAGCGACTGCCTTCGGCTCAGGTCATGATCCTGGAGTCCCAGGATCGAGTCCCGCATCGGGCTCCCTGCTCGG